CCAAGGTCCAGACGTTCAAAGATATTTAGGGCCCTGAAGATAACAGGCTCATAGTGGAGTTCTCAAAAGTGCCTAATCTTGTTAGGCACCTAACTCACATTGTTTTCAATAGGACAGGTACCTAACCTGCTTAGGTATTTTTAGAAATTCCACAGGGCACCTATCTGCCTTGTTGGATGCCTAAATGCCTTTGAAAATCTAGCTCTAAGAGATTAATTCACCTTACAAATATCACTTTACTGGTGTGCAACTTCTTTTTGCTATATTGTATCTATGTATTCAAAGACCCATGTTAAAAGGGAAAAAAAACACTAGGCCAAATTATGTCCTCATATGGATATGATTGCTCTGCCTTTAGTCATATTGAGCTGCACATTCCAAGGGCAATAAATTCCATGCTTAAAGGATGGATAAAATTTGCCATATTTGAGGAGCATAAAAAGGAGTGAGAAATATTCTTTATCTTTATCTTATTTCTATAGTGCCTAAGTGCTTCTGCTAATAACCTTGCACAAGAAGAAAAGTCCTATAGTTTAAAGGCAAAGACATCTGCAAAGCTGGTACATGAGTATTTCTTACTTTAGCAATAGACGTATTGCCTTTAAGACTCTTGAGTGGTGCTAGACTAATGGTGCTCTTTTTTATATGGAGTTAATTCTAGGCCAAAAGCAAGGAAATCTGTGGCTGAGTGTAGCAGCAAACAGCTTTACTAGTGGGGTCTGCTACTGTGATGTTATCAGGTGGAATAAATTCTTCATGAAATGTTCATAATCTTTGAGAAGAAGGTCCCATCTACAGAAGCAGACTGCCTAAGCAGTCAGGTATTTCTTTTCCAAGACATAGTCTGCTTGCTTGCTTATGCAGTTACTTTAGGTTTGTGCTCTCCTGTCCCTTATGCATGCTGTTCTGATTTGAATACTGGATGTGGTTAGACAGTTCTAAGTGCTTGACTGCTTTGATTTTTAGTAGATTTATGGATTTCCCTTCCTTGGTGTTTCCCTTTGGGTTGCCATACATTGGAGGTGGGCTCCAGATTTCCAGAGTCTGATGTCTACTCTGATTTTGAATAATTCTGAATTATCTGGAAGTTTCCTTATTAAAATATATTTAAAAATTCTTGATGACAGAACTTTTAATATTAGCTATAGGGCTCTCTATTCACTGTTCTTTCAGTTCACCCCTCTACTATGGGTGTGTGTGTGTGTGTGTGCAATTTTTGCACCACTGCCCCCCCCCCCACAGGAGACCAGATGAAGGAATACAGCTTTAAACTGGGGTTTGAGTTTACTCTAAGATCTACTGATGAAGGCTAAGAGATGTGCTGAAACAGCGCATTCCCCCACCTGTGCCCCTTCTCTGGCCTGAGCTGCCCATTTTATGGTGGACAGTAGCATTTAGCCACAAAGCTTGAGTAAGGGCTTGTGTAGATCTGCACTGCTCCAAGGGGATCACTGGGAAGATTACAGCTCAGGTCTACCTAAAATATACCTCTACTAGAGAATAGCATTCTTCAATTAGCCTTATGTCCTAATCTGCAACGCAATACATAGACTAGGACAAAACAATAGCTTCTAGCTGCAGATGGATGATAAAAGCGATAAAAACAAAACCCTTGTGGATTTTGAAATACTATATAAAGGCCTATAAACCTATACTCTAACCTTTGGTTATCTGTCCAACAGATTAGATTAGGCTCAGGCCATGAAGATGGCCTTACTTGGGTGCTTGCTGGCTTCTTGTGGAATGTATTTTGCTGACATTAAGGCCTCTCCCAAACCCAACAGTTCTGACACATTCCGTGATGAGTAAGAGGCAGTAGACAGAAAGAGCGGGAGATGTCTGTGTTTAACAGACCAAGTGCAGATCTGCTACAATCCTGTAATAGATTATTTATCGGATAACACCTTGATATGGTTTAGAGGCACAATGCTGATTTCCTCATACTTCTTCACTCCTTCAGCATCTTCTCTACCAGAAAGAATAATTTTGTACTGGATTAAACTTAGAGGTAAATACAGCCAGTTGGGCTCCTTTCAAAATAAACCTGGTTTACATGGGCCTTGGCTAAAATATTAAATATTGTTCTGTGGCCCACAATAGTTAATCTCGCCAAATAGTTTCCCCTATACCTTCTGTCTCAAAGATTATGAACCTGACATCAGCATTGCCACATACCTTCTACCATCACTTACATCAAGGAAAAGTGAGTGTAAAACACTACCATTCTGTTTTGATAGTGTTTTACTCCTAATGGAGAATTAGGCCCCGTGTATGTATTTGGGACTTAAGTCATTCTTGCTAAGGGTACAGCTCTTCCCCTATTTTAGAATGCTTATTAAGAGCATTTATTGATTGCCCACAAGACATTATCTTATTACAAATAAGACAAACCCCCCTGAAATCACTAATTTACCACCTCAACTGGGTTTCAGTACAACCAGCTCTTTGGAGCAAGGACTGTCTTTGTTTGCTGTACTGTACCATTCTGCGCAAGTTGTTGACCCTAAACAAATAATAATAATTAGAATAGATGATAGATTCATATATTTAAAGGCCAGAAGAGACCATTAGATCCTCCTGGCCAGAGAATTTCATCGAGTTATTCCTTTGTGGAGCCCAATAACTTGTACGGTAGCTTCAGTAGTGACCTTCTGATCCCACATGTGTATTAGAAACCATTTTCTAAATTCTTTCTTTATGTGTGACTTATTTTATGCTGGTTTCTCCATGACAGTTTGTCACTGACAATTATTGCTTCAGGTAATTTTTTTCCATAGTTTGTTCTCTTTCTTGTAGAGTTCATCTAAAAAATCCTGGCATCAGAACATGTGTCTTGGAATGACCACATTTTCACAGCTTTTTTGCTTACATTAACTGGGGGTTTATTTAATTTACATACCAAATATTTACTGGAACAATTCTCTCTGTCATATGCATAAGAAAAACTAGCAGTTTTGCTTTTCAGGTCAGATAGCTTTACCATAGAAAGCCTTTGTGCCAAAGTATTTATTGGTTTGAAGGGAGGAGAAATCACTACTTCCCATCAACCACAGAAGAATACTAGTCTTTCATTTTGGTAGTGCTGTTTGATGTTATTAAAAAGTCATGAACTCCTGAAAGACTCAGTCTCTCTCCTAACAGCTCCCCACCCTTCTCTCAAGAGCATTCTCTCCAGAGAAAAGCTGCATGTGTATATAGCTGTGATATTCATGTGCAGCCCGGAGTTTAAGGGCAGATTCTCAGCTGGCATAATCAGCATATTGATTCCAACAGAACTATGACGATTTACATCAGCTGAGGAGTTATTTCAATAATACTTCTGATAGGGTCACTTATTTTCTGCAGTGTCCTGTTATATACAATCCATTTAGCAAGACAACCAACATTCTTCTTAAGAGTTGTATTTACTGCTGCTAAAGCAGGCCAGCTGACAAGTGTCATCAGATACCCACACAGACAAAAGGCAAGTTACTGGCAAGATGGAAGAATGATGTGGGATAGCAGTAGCTCTGTGGGATCGTTCAAATCTAAGCTAGGACTGAGGTGGTTGCAAGGTCCCAGATGAGGTTTTTTTTGTTTGCATGGCTGTTTTAAAGAACTATTCTTTAGATCCTGTAGTATTAGGTTACAGAATAGATAGTACATATCTGCAATGGAGCCAAAGGTAAGCCCTTGCTTAGCCTGCTGGGCAATGCCAAAAATCCATTTCTCTCTCTCTTTTTAACATCAAAACTGACTAACACAGCCTGCTGTGCCTATTGTCACCATGCAGAGTATTTCTAAACTCTAGGTTAGAGTATGTGGTCATGGAACAATCATGGAACAGTATGTGGATGTTTTTCTTTCCATAAGAGATGAGGTTTGTGATCACAGAGATTGAGACTGATAGTGAGAAAGCTTGCCTGCTAACCAATAAACTGAACCAGTACAAAGCTGAGAAAGCTAATAAAGCCATACACATTTTTGTAAAGTAATAAAATCAAGACTATGGGGTTCTCATTTTCGTTTTTAAACCACTGAAAAAGAATAAGATGATCAAGGCACAAGAGCAGGGTTTGACATTTTCTTTGTTCCTAAGTCCGGTAGTTGCTATATTCAGTCTTGGATCAGTGCCTGCTAGACTGAGGGACAGTGACAGATTTTAATGGCCCATGGTCTCCCAAACACCAGGGTTGGAAAAGAATGTGAGTACAATCATAGCGAGCTGGGAATTCTCCCTTTCAATGCAGGGCTAGCTCCAGGGCTTCTTATGTGGAATAGGCAAACGTCCTGCAGTGACCCACACTAGCAGATACTGAAAGTTTTGTTGCTCCATGCAATTATTCTGTATGGGACAGCAATCCCTGTTCCAAAACACCGGTCCCTCCAGGGATGCATGTTAGTCCCCCACTAGTCGTGGGAGGAGCTTCTAATAATAAAATGCACTATTACTAAGGCTCAGTCTTTGGCATAGTTATTTTTATAAAAGTCACGGACAGGTCACAGGCAATAAACAAAAAGAAAAGGAGGACTTGTGGCACCTTAGAGACTAACCAATTTATTTGAGCATGAGCTTTCGTGAGCTACAGCTGAAGTGAGCTCACAGATGAAGTGAGCTGTAGCTCACGAAAGCTCATGCTCAAATAAATTGGTTAGTCTCTAAGGTGCCACAAGTACTCCTTTTCTTTTTGCGAATACAGACTAACACGGCTGTTCCTCTGAAACCAGGCAATAAACAAAAATTCATGGAAGCCGTGACCCGTCTGTGACTTTTGCTGCTGTGGCTCCAAGGTTTACCCCGCCACTGTGGTAGCTGGGAACTGTGGGGATCCCCCTTCGCCTGAGGCAGCTGGAAGCCCTCTGCCCACGGCACCTGGGAGCTGCAGGGTGGTCATATTTCCCAAATAAAAAACAGGACACCCCCCAGCTGCTCGCCCAAGGTGCTCCCTCCCCCTCCCCCCACAAGAGGCTGTCGCCTGTCACTGGAACCATGAGGAGGGGCCCCCTCAGGAGTCTGTCACCTGTCGCTGGAACCTTGCAGGGTGCCCCTGTTGCTGCCTGTCGCTGGAACCCTGCCAGGGTATCAGCTCCAGAGTCTTCCATGAACTCCGTGGTATCAGCTCCGTGACTTCCATGAACTCTGTGATGGAAACGTAGCCTTAACTATTACCACTACTTAGCACTTAGAGTTCATTTTACCATAAAACTTAAAGTACTTTACAAAGGCGAGTGAGTAACATTAGCTCTGTTTCTCAGATGGGAGAAAGTTTGGGCAGAGAAGTTAAGAGATTTGCTCAAGCTCACACAATAAACCAGTAAGGCCCCAATCCTGCAAACATTTAATGCATGTGTTTAACTTTATTCAGAAGTAGTCTTATTGAGCAGGATTGCTCATGTGTGCAAAGTTGAGCACATGCATAAGTGTTTTCAGGATCAGGACTGAAGAGAGCGCTGGGAATAGACCCTGTCTCTCCTGGCTCCCAGTCCCATGGCCTATCTATTGGACCAAGTTCGTACTTGGGGATCTAGAATGCTTCCAGGTTTTGAGAACTCTCTTAATGATATGTGTCAGAAGGTATGTGCTGCAGGAATTGGAATTAATACAATAATATCTTCTGTTGGAGATTTTGGCCTTCTTTAGAAATACTCAAAAATGACCTCAAAAACTGATTAACTGACAACTGTAAAAACTTTTTTAAGCATAAAAATCTGTTTTAGAGTATTTTCTGTTAGTTACACAGTAAGCCAAATGGTGTATTTTTAAAAGTCTCTAGGGAAGCTGTGATTATCTTTATATGTTAATGCCATCATTCTAATGCCTCTCGGCGTGCTTCAGACAAGTCCTCCTTGTAAGACCAGATCTGACCTTCTTGTCTGTCTATTCCAGGTCAGCTCCACCTCTCTTATGTGTGCCCTAGTCAAGACTTGTTTATAATGAGGTTTGCAAAATTGCAAACACTGTTACACTGCCCAGGTTTCTGTTTCTCAAACGCATCCCACCAAGCCGTAGTTTTGGGCGGTACCTGCTTAAAACACTAAACACCCTCTTGACACTGTAAACAACGAAGACAAGATTGTGTTCTTTCTTGATTCTGTGCATATTTTGCAAACACTGATGCAGACTCCGTGGGCTCTAGATAGCTCTTATTTTTCTTCTATCTCCTTGTAGGTAGCCGTACCACTATGACTGAGAGCAATGTGGAGTCTGTGGAGCAAACTCTCCCCTTCCCCCCACCCCAAACCACCATCAATTCCCCTTCAATATACTTTTAGAAAAACCCTTTTTTATATAGGCGTGATGTGTTTTAGTTGATTTTCCCTCCTGGCATAACTGAGGTGATATTGCTCAAGCTGAAATGGAAGAGATGGTGCCATAGAAAGATCAAATGACAATGGGAAAGGGTTTGAAGGCACAGGAAAGTAGTTAGTTAAACTCTCACTTGTGATATCTCCCTCAGGACAGGCGACAGACGAGTAGCCCAAACTGCCCAACCTTCTGGCAGAATCCAATGGCACACACCGAGCAATACACCTTGCCCATAGACCTTTCAGTACCTCTCGTTTTGGAGGTACTGACAGTTGGTCAAATCCTGCAAACCATTTCTTGAAAAAACAACCGCAGATTATTTATTACTAGTCTCTCAATAATGTAAGGAAAATGCTGTGGATGAACCATTTCTCTACCTACAATATCTATTTCTTGTAATATTTTAAAATATTTGGACGGGCATTATTAATGGAGAATTAATGGCAATTGGGGCCCCATTGTGCTGGGTGCTGTGCAAACACAGACAAGAATGCGGAGGTGATCACTTGCACGCAATAGAAAAAAGATTGCAAAAGCATTGTTTGAGGATTAACATTACTCAGCAAAATGTGCCATCTGCACATGCATGGAGCTCTCCTCAAATTATGCTGTAGACATGCTGCCTCTCCACAGGAGTTCCTCATTTAAAATATTAGAACCTGCTCAAAGTCTTATGGGAAAAGCTGGCTGTTAGTTTAGTCACTTAATATTGGGTTAGAAATATGAAAAACTACTTTTTCTTCATAGAATTCGGTAGGTTCCATTTTCACAAAGCACTTACAGCCCTGCTTAACTTTAAGCAAGTGAGTAGTCCCATTGATTTCAAGTCTGTTTAAAGTTAAGCATGGGCTGAAGTGCTTTGCTGGATTGGGACAATAGTTATTTCCATTGGCTTTGTAAAAAACAAGAGTGACTAGCCCTTCAGTAAAACCTTAGAAGTAATTCATAAGCCTCAAAAAGTCTGAATTTTTCCTGAGTTTTTGCAAACACAGATTTATCTGGCTACAACATTCAATCTTTTGCATATTTTCAGAAACAATTTCAATATTATTAAAAAATACCCTTATTTTTATTCCAACAGCCAACTCACTATTAAATTACTTTTTTACCTTAGATAAATGGCTCTGGCAAGACAATTAAATATCATTTAGTAACAGCAATATAAATGCCATGGGTATATTTTATTTGGATAGAAATGATAAAAGCTAATGATTATTTACTGAGAGACTTACTTTTTCACCTAGGAAAAAAAGCAAGTTCCACAAAAATGTTTTCTTACTTGTCTTCAAGGGGTATTTAGTGTGTTGTCAAAAAGGTAATTTAGTAGTTTGTCATAGAACAGTTGACTATATGCTTTAAAATGCTATGTAAATATGCTTCTTGGTACTGGACAAAGTGTACAACTCCAAGATCTAATTTGTTTGTGTTATTGGTCTTACTAAATATTAGTCTTTGCTAGTCTGGTTTACACCATTTATCTTGACTATGCCAACATTCTGATTTTGTTCTGAAGTATTCCACAACAAGCTGATGTTATACAATACTAGCCTTAGAGCTAGCTTTTCCAGTTTACTGAGTATACTTAGTATATTTTGTTACTGATAAATCAATAGAACAATGTTGTAATGTACAAACTTCCATCTCTGTGAAGCAGCTATAAGCAAACTGTAAATGAACACACGGGTCAAAAAATGGGATACTGTGATTATGTTGACTCTGAAAACATTTGATTTTCATACATTTTACTGTTTAGGTAAAATAAGTTGTAGCACTGCCTGCATTTTCTTGAACATTAAAGTGATAAATATTCAAATGATAATAAATATATGGGTTTAGATCCTAGTTATTCATGTTTAAAAACAATTATTGTGAGGATTGGTGTTGCAGGCCATATTTTATAGTAGACAAGTAAATTAAATCATATGTACAAGTAAGTAGATAAATACCTGACTTAGGCTATGTCTATATTTAAAATTGTACAGCTGTAGCGGTCAGTGTGGTAGACACTTACTACAGTGATGGGAGGGGCTCACCCATCACTGTGGGTAATCTACCACCCCTAGAGGTAGTAGCTAGATCAACGGAACAATTCTTTCATTGACCTAGCAATGTCTACACTGGGGTTAGGTTGGCTTAATTACATCTCTTAGGGGTGTGGATTTTCACACCCCCAAGACATGTGGCTATGACACATGTAACTTTTCAATGTACACCAACCCTTACATTCTGAGCTTGATTTTGCATCCCATATGCACCCGAAATTCCATGAAGGCTATGTAAGTTTGGGCTGTGCAAATAGCCTCTCTGTAAATATCTTGAGGACAGAGTCTCTTGACTTCATTCTTATGTAGATCACTGAACATAATGTTGTCATTCAACACAAGCCATCAGATGCCAGAAATCTCACTTCAACCCATGGCATCGGGGATCTCAAGAGAAAGATATCCCAGAATGACAGGTCACTCTGTGACACCCCAGAGACTAGGCTTGCAATGAGACTTTTGGTATTTGATTTCAAAGACAGATGTATTATGGGATATCCTCAAAGAAGCAGGAAGTGTCAGGAGGGATTCAGAGATGGGAAACAGATTAGATCAAATTTATTTCTCTGCTGAAAGGTCTCCACAATCTGGCTAGTAGATGGCAGAGGAGGCATTCAGCACATGCATCAGTTTTCATTTTACCTTAGTTCATTTTTAAATATTTTGAATTGATTTGTTGACTTAGATTCATCATATCAAGGTGATGTAGCAGACTCTACCTAGTTAATTTTAATCAGTATGTATCAAATTGTATTAACATTGAAGATAGGCCAGGGCTGAGACATACTACTTCCTGAACAGCAACACAGACAGTCTGCCATCAGAAGTACTGCTTTATTCTTGGAACACTAAGGCATTATTCCTGGAACACTCAGACATTTCAGGTGTTGGGGAAAGATCCTGAATTGTGTCTTTTACATCAGCTGTAGAATCCACATCAGTGAATTCCTCTGTATATGTATGTTTCAGAGTCCACAGGTACCTTTGTCAAGGTTCCTCCCCCACTCTGAACTCTAGGGTACAGATGTGGGGACCTGCATGAAAAACCTCCTAAGCTTATCTTTACCAGCTTAGGTCAAAACTTCCCCAAGGTACAAAATATTCCACCCGTTGTCCTTGGACTGGCCGCTACCACCACCAAACTAATACTGGTTACTGGGGAAGAGCTGTTTGGACGCGTCCTTCCCCCCAAAATACTTCCCAAAACCTTGCACCCCACTTCCTGGACAAGGTTTGGTAAAAAGCCTCACCAATTTGCCTAGGTGACTACAGACCCAGACCCTTGGATCTTAAGAACAATGAACAATCCTCCCCACACTTGCACCCCCCCCTTTCCTGGGAAATGTTGGATAGAAAGCCTCACCAATTTGCATAGGTGACCACAGACCCAAACCCTTGGATCTGAGAACAATGAAAAAGCATTCAGTTTCTTACAAGAAGACTTTTAATAAAAATAGGAGTAAATAGAAATAAAGAAATCCCCCCTGTAAAATCAGGATGGTAGATATCTTACAGGGTAATTAGATTCAAAAACATAGAGAACCCCTCTAGGCAAAACCTTAAGTTACAAAAAAGATACACAGACAGAAATAGTTATTCTATTCAGCACAATCCTTTTCTCAGCCATTTAAAGAAATCATAATCTAACACATACCTAGCTAGATTACTTACTAAAAGTTCTAAGACTCCATTCCTGGTCTATCCCCGACAAAGACCAGCATATAGACAGACACAGACCCTTTGTTTCTCTCCCTCCTCCCAGCTTTTGAAAGTATCTTGTCTCCTCATTGG